CCTAGCGTTGTACGAGATGAGTTGATAGAATGGTAGAAATTCTAAAGTGGGATGGGAAGAAAGTACGGTCTTACTTGTGTATTGCATAGACCGGGCTGCACATGCGGTTCAAAATAATCTGTATTTGCACTCACTGGATACTGTCTCTTCAGTTGAACACTAACATTGCCCTCGAATACCAATGGTGGTCCTTCTTCTGTTGGAAAATATTCTGCACACTTTTTAGTCCTCTGATAGAAGAAAGTTCAAAATGAGTTATGAAATCTCGCAGTACGACCTGTTCAATAAAGTTGCACAGCATGCATATGGCAGTGCAATTTTCTTGTACCACCATATACCAAAATTCTGGACAAGTTTTTGGAAGAGGTGCCTGGAAACTACTTATTGACGCAATTTTCTGCTGCCTTTCGGGGAAATCTACCTGGGTGCAAATAAATCTTTTCGCATTCATTGGAGTCGTCACATAATTAGCGTGTATATATGAGACAGGTCCAATATGAAGTACAACTCTATCGTTATCCAAACATCCGACATCCTGTAAAGTTTCCATGTAAGTTTGAGTTGTAGAAAAATGATGTGGTGATGCAGTGCTACATCCCGAAAAAATTTTTTGGTATCCTTCCCAAGGTTTTGCGGGCCTCTAAGGGGGCCCCTAAAATCTCGGAAAAAGGTTCGAAATTTTTTTCTGTAAGCCTATATTAAATTCCAAAAAATTGCAAATATTTCAATTATTTACAAGTATGAACAAGCAACTTTTTTTGGACCTCTTAATTAACTCTCAGAAATTTCGCGATCCCCCACCCCTACGCTCTTCCTCCCCCCTCTTTGTACGCTACTCGCTGGAAGAAAGAGAGATATGACAGCAAATTTGAATTAACTCTATACCTCGCCAAAGTTGTTTTGACTAAATCCACTGCTTACTTTGTATCTATTTCGCCCTTGTGCAATCTGCGCTACGAATTCTGTCATCTTTGTGAAATCGTTCACTCGTTTCAATGACTTAAATTCGGCAACAAGGCCTCTAACTCCTTTTCTGAGTGTTTCTTCAACAAATACCTTCACCTGAAATGGCTACTTTCACACTAAATCACTATGGCGAAGTGGCAGAAGGAACAAAGCATGCCGAGTGCTTTATTTGCCCAATGATGCAACTTGTTTAACAGCTCGTCCTATGGATTAACCTTTGTTAAAATTCAAAAATATTTGTCAGTCAAGTTACGTGTTCTCCAAAGGTTATTGAAAATTGCGCAAGCGATTAATTGGAACTGAAACTAGCCACTTTCAAAAACTGTTTTTTATAGGGCTGGTTAAGCCTAGAGCTTGAAATTTTATATGTTAAATCTGTCGCCTATAATCAAGTGAGCTCGCAAGCAACGTTATATTATGTTATATTATATTTATTGCACATACGATATATAACATCGTAGTACACCCTAGGTAGATAAATTATTGTTTACTTTGGGTCCTGTATAAGCGAGCCAGGGTATGCAAAAATAATGACCGCATTATCATTACCAGTGCATTATAATCGCATTATAAACGTTACGGAAGGTTTTCGCCTCCAGACTTTCTTACGAATTTTTTGAATACTATTTTTGTCCGAGGTATGGGACTCTTAAAGGCAGTGGCTCGGCAAATCTTAACCTAAAAGAATTCCCGCTTACCCGGGGTTTTCCAATGCGCTGATCCCG